CCCACCGAATCAAACAGCCCACAGTACTGTATCGCCCCGGCTCGTACCCAATCACACAAGTGAATATCTCCTATCTCTATACTCAAAAAAGTTACGCAAGATTAAAGGACCTAATGTGGCTCTAAACATTAATGCCTCAGACGCTTCAGAACTTGACTTCAACATTGAGTTCATCAATGAATATAAGCTTCAGCATGGGGTTGCGCGTGTTGAGCCAGATTTCCATACAGGCTGTCGATGTGATGATAAGTGTGATTTGCACAAATGCGATCATCTCTCATATGAGGAGGAGTCGGAAGATCGCATTGTGCCTTATCAGATGGGTCGGGGTGGAACGATTGTCCTCAGACAGGATTTCCTTAAACGAAGGGCTATGATATATGAATGCTCCCGGCTTTGTCCTTGTATGCCAGGTTGCTGGAACCAGGTCGTTCAAAAAGGACGAACTGTTAAATTAGAAATATTTCGTACGTCGAACCGTGGCTTCGGTAAGTGAAGCTTAACTTCTTCCAGTGCTTCTGCTTCGTTTCGGGTTTATTAACGAATTCGAACCCTGTTGCTTCACAGGCCTACGCTCCCCGGAAAGTATACAATCAGGTCAATACATTGATAGGTACCTAGGCGAGGTAATAACCAAAAAGGAGGCCGATGCCCGCGAAGCTGCTGCAGGGGATCCAGCGAGTTACCTTTTTCAACTTGACTTCTTCCAAGAGGATGATGAATGTTACATTGTTGACGGAAAAAAGTACGGGTCTATCACGCGCTTTATGAACCATTCCTGCAACCCTAATTGCAAGATGTTCCCGGTCTCCCAATATGACGCTGAGCAGAAGATATTCGACATGGCTTTCTTTGCTATAAAAGATATTCCTGCGGGAACCGAGCTTAGCTTCGATTACTGCCCCAACTATAGTATAGAGAGTTCAAGATATAGTGACCCTCAAGATGTTCCATGCTTGTGTGGTGAGCCGAACTGCCGTCGTAAACTGTGGCCAAACCAGCGGAAAACTATGCAGCCCGAAGTGGAGTGAGTTGCTTTATTCTTTTTGTCTGTACCCTTCCCTCTATTTCAGAATAATTTGCATTATGTATACTGCACCACTCACATTCTCCCTATTGCATGAAAAGATGCTCGCTTCAGGACAATTTTTGCGCTCATTCCATTGTCATTTCATTTTTGTTTTATTATTCTACTTTGATTGAGATTTCGTTTTGATTTATTCCAGATATCCAGCTTCCGGTTTCCAGTCTTTCTTAGATGGTTTATTTTACCTTGTGATTTTATTTTTGTATTCTTTTCCTTTGTTTAGTTTCCCCTCCGATGCCTTTCATGCTTGAATTTTTATTCATTACAGATGCGCTTGCGGTATGAATGCTCGGCACTACATCTACATCTAATTTCTGACTTGACTCTCTTGTATCTATACCGGGGATGCTTCGGATCACCATTGATTGTTTTCCCCTTTTCTTACTCTTATCGTTCTAGAACATATTGAGCACCAGGTCAACTAGTTATCTAGATACCCCTCTTGCATTGATGAAGCAGAGCATGTGAAGCTCCAGTTCTGCCTTCTTACTCCTTTGACTTTTGCCTCATTAAAGAGTTTATTACAACTATAGTTCAAAAGTCTGTTTCTACTTTTACAACCGTCAAACTATACTCTTACAAATATTCAATAAATCTTGCTTAATTGAATGGAAGGAAAAACACTTCTTTTCAATGATTCAATTGAAACTTGATTATAACTATTCCAAATTATATCTAAGTAAATTTAGAGATGAATCATGATTTAAATAGTAGCTTGTGTTCATATTGCGAACTGGTTGAAAATTCTGAATATAATAAGAAATCTGTATTAAGATACCAGTGTTAAACTGAACCAGATAATCAGTGCTAAATGATAAATCAAAGTAAATAATTGCTCTCACTAAAATGTAACATTATATAATCTGAATATAATCTGAGATTGATTATAATTTTGATTAAAATTTAATTTTAATTTTTACAATTATATATAGTAATTTCAGTTTCCTGTTATTCTGAAGTGTACATCACTTTCTATTTCTAGGGGCAGCCTGCCCCTTTCACCCCCTTCCTGGGGGTGGGCAAACGGACCTCTCAACCCCAGGGATGAAGGTATCTTTAATTGCTTCAAAAGGGTGGACAGCTCAGGCACAACACTCTATAGCAGGAGCTTCATGAAACATGCAGCCGGGGCAAGACGGAGCAAAAAGCTCAGAAAGCCATGCTCTTAGATATTACATATCATTGGTAGATATCATCATTGATATATCATCGCAGATATCATTAATATATGTCGTCACTAGATACCATCACTAGATATCACTAGATATCCCAGATTTTTTCTCCCGCTGTTACCACCGTAAAGATGCTTCTCCGGCTTCAAATTTGCTTGGTCCCGAGCATAATAAATCCCGCCAAACTCCTAGAACCTGACGGAGAGCCAGGTTGGGCTGAAAACGAGCTACATCGAGCCGAAGTTTCATCTTATCAACAAGTTGCATGTTGTTCCAAACTTGGCTAAACTGGACTCCAGGCATTTTGTCCATAATTAGCTACTCAGCCCTACAGAGTTTGCTGCATGGGCAATCCCAAGAAAACACCTTAGGTGCGGGTGTTCCCAGGAAGTTGCGGACCTTGCAAGTATTAGCTTGAATGATAATAATGCAATCAGCAAGTTGTATACGCACAAAGTCCACCGTAGCTATCTCGATCGCTGTGGTAAAGTAAGCAATGCCGGTATTGGGGTTAGGAACTTTTGCAATAACAGTTTAGCCGACATCCATTGTCAGGACAAAATTCTTGTTAAGCATGCCATCAAGGCACTTGTCAGCGTTAACGCAACTTTTACCCCCACTGACTCGGGTGAAATACGGGCGAGCTCATTCATGTTGAATCTGAATGTAACGGAGCGCAACCTGGTCTCCATCTTGTACGAAACGACCACGCGTAAATGAAAAGAAGTCTCCACAGTTATTCCCAGCCTGGAACAAGAAGTCAGCTGGGAAATAAAGTCAGGAACAAGAATAGACCTTTGTCCGCCAGGACTGCAGCTGTTGATGTTTTCGTAGGATAACTTTGATAACCATTGGAGGTGAAAGATGATAAGGTGGTTGACTGAAAAGCTCGTGGAATTCAGCAAGGTCTTTTTTGCAAACTTGGGAGCTTAGAAAACAATGCCATGATACATAAATGAGACTTATAAGAGGCACGACATGAAAATATCATCTATGGACGAGAGAGGAAGGTATTTTCAATTTAAACTGTGTTTCTTAATTTGTTTTCCATATATAGAACCTCATAGATCTTAGATACTTGCTCTGTACTCTGGTAGTTGGAGGGATCCGAGCCCTTTCAGAAGAATGGGCAGATGTGCCTCTCTTTTCCAGATTCGTTTGTAAGAGGGGCATTCACGTTACCGTTCAATTCAGTGTGTGCTTTACTATGGCTAATTCCGCCTTTTTGATACATGTAGTTGGCGACATCCTAGACCGGCTCACTTCTGGTTTCTCTAACGCCCCATTCCTTTTTGACCCCGTTGGACACCTAAAATCCAGGATTTTTCCCTTCCCAATGTCAGTCATCATCTTAGATTCGACTCTCAAGTGCTGGCCACAACTGTCAACTTTCAGTAATCTCCAGGGTATCTAGGGCCACCTGTTCAAAACCTATGGTTTCATATTCCTCCAATAAAGGGGTTGAAATAGGGAGGGAAAAAAAATAAAGAAAAAAATAAAAATAACAATATTCGACATTTGAAAAAGGATGATATCGACGAACATTCTTATACCACTTTTGCAGAGGGATGCACAACAATGGGTACGGTATACCGTGCACGTAAAAAGGTGACGAAAGAAAGACAAAAGCAATCGCCAGATATTAAGTAGCAACAGAAATAGGTGAGGTACCGACAAAATTAGACTGGACAAAAAAGAAAACGAAAGCCGCTAGTTAAGTGAAGAATTGAAAATTGCGAGGAAAGCTATAAAGACGTTCTTTTCATCATCATAAAATTCAAATAGCATTGGCCTTTAGACCTTTGAGAGATCCCAAACTCAACGCCAGCCCTTGCGATCGACTTCGGATTCGCACAAACCCGGTGATTGGTCCGTCCTCGCCTTGTTTCTCGATGCTGAGATTTGCAAGCGCGTCCTCACCTGGGGGGAACGAAAAGATAAATGGTTAGTTAGGAGTCCTCAATCTGGGAACTACAACACAACGGAAAGAGTGAGGAAGTGAAGAATAAATATGATAAAACTTTACCGAAGACACTTCGAGCATAAAGATTGGCGCTCAGGAATTGACAATCCCCTTCAAGCGATGCCTCTGGCGTCAAGCAGCTCATGTTCGTGCTCTCCATAAGCTGGGACAGGAACTCTCTCAGCGATTTTGCTTTGGAGTTAATATTGACTTTGTTTTCCCATTCGAATTCTGTCCACATGGTACGGAACTGGGATTCGGTGCAGTGGGCTGGATGTATATAGTCCATGATATCTGCTTTGATGTCGTTCAAGATGACAACATGGGTCTCTGTAGAGCTCGCTCCATCGTAGACGACGTTTCCAAATATAACGCCAGTGTCTGTCGATGAAACTTTCACGGTAGCTTGTACGTTCAAGAAGTCATGAGGCCCGAGGTTCTGTGTTGTTGGGCGCTCAACAACCTTGAGGTCTCCAAGAGTGGCGAACTCTACTGACAAGTTTTGCAGGGTCTCTGTCGTTTGATTGACGAGCAGGACATCCAAAACAATGTCAAACTGGTGAACCTTAACATACGCTTCAGCATAGACGGGGTCAGAGAACCCAGTGAGCTGCACAACTCGACTGAGCTTAGATGACAGGTCTTCATAAGCAGAGTCACCGCCAGTAGCCTTGGCGAGATCAAGTTCAATTTCGTCAGCTCCTTCTTCGGCAGATTTTTTAGCGAGCTGACGGATGGGGATTGTGTCGTCGACTTGGACGGCCGCCTTGGCTTTCTCGTCTGCTTCTTTGGCTGCGCGTTTCTTTTCTTCGACTTGGACCATAGCACGGAACGCTTGTCTTGTATCTTCAAGGAACGTCGTTTCTAATTCCTTATGTTGGGCAAACTCGGCCAGAGATCGAACACACGACATGATTCTGTCCACAGAGTCCTCGTCGATCAGGGCTTTGACAAATTGAGATTGGCCGACTCGGATAATTGAGATCATGATAAGCATCGCTTCAGCTCGTAGAGCATTGGTTCGAGCGGTGTCTTGGGAGACCTCAGAATGTCTCATGACTAGCTTTGTCAGCGTAGACGACAAAACAGTGGCAAGGAAATAGTCCCCATCGAGGATAAGCTGTCGGAGTGGCGGTTTTTGCGCTGCCTTGACTGCTTCTAGTTTGGCAGCCTCGCTGGACTGGCTGGTAAGAGCGCTCTCAGTAGCATATGTGCCATCTGCTAATACTTTCCTTGACCCTGTTGGAGCAGACGGCTTGGAATGGCCATTCACTTGCTCCTTAATAGGGCCGTCCTCGGCGGGAACCTCGTCCAATAAGCGCTGCTCAGAAGCCAAAATGGGAATTTCCCCAAGGCTAGCCCTAACACGTTTCCAGGCTTCTCTAATGTCGTTGGCTTCAAGAGAGTATTCTCCAATTACCCATAAAACCCCCCTATATACTTTACCCGCACGTACTTCGCTAAGAGTGGATACTAGGCGCTCGATAATGGATGGCCTTAGCTTGGGGAACTTCTCAACTACTTCCTTGACGAAAGAGATCACGTCAACGGCGGAGTTGTTGTTAAAGTCGGCAATGAAGTCCATAAGAAGATCAACGACACTGGCTGCAATTTCAGAAAACTTAATTGCACACTGATGGATCGATTGGATAAGCAATTGCCGGTATTCGTTGTTCTGCAGAATTTTAGTCAGCTGCGATATTCATTGTTTGAGGGGGAGAGTGTGAGTTTAAAATAAGTTGATCGTTGATACCTTCTCATATTGTTCGTCAACTGTTTTAGCCAATTCCTTCTTCAAGAGCATGACGATTTCTTCAACATTTTTGCTAGACACCATTTCCATTACAATGCCCAACGCTTTCCTTCGAACATCGATATCCGGACTTGATAGAACTCGTAAAATTTCCATTGTCAGATCATCTAGAACTCCTTCATTCCGTATCCGTAGCTGGTCGACTCTATCGAGTACAATTAGCTTCACATTATTGTCGGCTTCTTTGATGCTCAATTCGATCAATTTCGATGCAGCTGCCTTCACCGCCACTGGATTGCTTGTAAGCGCTGTGAGCGACGTTGCTGCTTCATAAACAACGGTACTGGCTCCCGCATCCAAGAGATCGAATATCAGTCGGAGATATTTAGCCTATATTAATTTGTCAGTTCCCGAAAATTTGACTAAAGGATGAATCCGAGAAGGGAGCGAACCAACCTTATTCTGGGTATTTTGGATAGCATCCTTTCTTATAAACTCGAGTTCGACGAGCTGAAGCAATTCATCCGCGTTTGGTACACTGTCAAAAGCAGAGCTAAGATACTCTAAGGCCTTTTGATGGCTGACTGTAAGTAGTGCAGCAAAGGCGTTGCGTCTGCAAGTGGGGTCAACTTGCGATCCCAAAAATGTCTGGATGAGGTCTGGAGCATCGGGGATCAGAGACTCGGAGAGTTGGAATATAGACGCAACGGCCCAAACAGCATTTTTCCGCACGTATGCGTGCCGGTGGTCTAAACAGGCACGTGTGGAGGACAGCAATGGTTCGAGAAGTTCGGGTTCTTTAAGTTTGCACAGAAATCGGAGCGTGTTGCCGCGGATATATTCGTTAGGATGTTGTAGGTCATTCCGGATGCCGTTGCTACATGTAGCACTGCCATTTAGCAAGGCCTTATAAAATGTCATGGGGCATTTCACAATATCATACCAGACTAATATCATCTCCTGCTTTAGTTTTCCATTGCTATCCAGCTTGGGACAGATCTCGTAGTAGAAGTAGAGAAGCTTCTTCAGCGGCTTGCTCTTGGACGGCATGACAAAACGAATGATATGCATAAGCAGTTGGGGCATTGGGTCTCCATTCAGCATTACAATCAATATCCGTCTCATGGTGTCTATTTTAGATTCATCTGTTCCTTTCTCAAGCTGCGTCTTCAGGTCCTGGAGGGTAGGCTGGTCGGCAACATTGTCCTGATGCACCAAGCTGTACGCATTTTCCAAATACGATGCCATTTTGCTAACCTCTGCTGCGGCTTGCTAATCGGGAGGCAGTCAGGCTGAATGGCGGTATCTAGACAAGGGCAGCAAATTCGGGAAAGGCTGGCGGGGAGAATGTGAGCTGGAGGATCCCTTTAAAGTTGGGGAAACAGGGGAACATACGGCGATGGGTTGGAGAAGTAGAGGGTAGATGGGATTCGTGACAATGTGCCTGGGCCCCGCCTTAATCCGAACAATCATCTGCGCCGGTACAGGACAATTGGGGGAGAGTGGATATTGAGCTGATATCTTTGCAGCGCTGGGTCAAGGTCCAACCTGTCCATTTGGCAGGTTGCGGCTATGGGCATTGTGTGGATGACTAAGCAGGATTTAACCCACTTCAATGCTCCTACAAGATGAACCTCCACGCAAGATAACGCCGCGATTTACGAGAGCAAGACAGGAGCAAAATATGGCAAATCCGAATGAACCTTTCTATGTTCGCTACTAGTAAGAATAATCTCTACGGCCCAGGTTTCCTCAGCTGCTGATAATCCTCGTCCAGCTCAGGTCATTCTGGGCGGTTTGGACATGAGTTTCTCGGTAAGAATATATACGAAACGAACCTTACGATTCCCGTTTACTCACAGTGTCATTAGAATTCGATTTTAGATCTCTCGGCGATGGTCGAAGCGCGTCTGCTCGGTATGCGAACAACTCCAACTATCGAAATGACTCCCTGATCCGCAAAGAGAGTAGGTTTGGAATATACCGCCCCACCTAAATAGGACTCCTGCTAAGCAAGACAATAATAGTGTGCGTCAGTTCCCTGATGATTGCAGAGATCAAACGCATTATCAAAGAGAGCGAAATCATGAAGTACAATAGACCAGCCCATTCCTAAGTACTTTCTTTTCAGCTTTATAACCGTTATACAGGGAAGATGATTCGAGATGGCCGCAAAAGAACAAAGACGGACGGCAGGAGTTAGAGATCAGGTTGGGAAATGAACATATTTCTTTCGAGGTAAATAAGAACTGGGCCCTCAGCTGTTGCAACCCTATAGACACATGTGTATTTACTGGTTGCGATCAGACCGCAAAAATAGGATCCCTCGTCGATGTCACCGAGTCAGCCCCCCCATGATATTGCGAGTATTCTACTATCTTGTCCAGGACCTTAGTGGG